TGGAGCGCTTGCCGTCGATGTTCAGGCTCATGTTTCGGCGCGTCTCCAGCGTCAGCAGCTCCTGGAAAAGCTCCTTGACGTTGTAGTTCATCTTGGCCGACGTCTCCATGAAGGCGCACTTCCACTCCTGGGCCACGGCCTGGGCCTCGCGGGTGTCCACCTCCCGCTGTGTCTCATCGCACTTGTTCCCCACCAGCATGACGGGGATGTCCTCTACGCTGCCCTTGATCTGCACGATGAGCTTGTAGATGGGCCCCAGCTCCTCCAGCGACTGCTTGCTGGTGATGGAGTAGACCAGGATGAAGGCGTGGCCCTTGGAGATGGACAGCCGCTGCATGGCCGGGAACTGGTGGCTGCCCGTGGTGTCGGTGATCTGCAGCGTGCATACGCTCTTGTCGCAGCTGATCACCTGCCGGTAGGTGTCCTCGATGGTGGGGATGTAGGTGTCCCGGAACGTGCCCTTGACGAAGCGAAGCACCAGCGAGCTCTTGCCCACGCCGCCCGCCCCGAACACCACCACTCGGTAGTCGTTGCTCTGTTCAGGCATCTTCCACGCGCTGGGTGGGGGTCAGGGCCGGGAGGGCTCGTGCCAGCTGCTAGAACCCCAGACCGACCCTGCACAGAGAGGAGTGTCAGGCACAAAAGGCCCCAGGCGGGAGGGGGGACAGCTCTGGGCCCCTGGGGGTGAGGTGATACAGTACAAGGGGCAGCTTCTCAGAGGAGACGGCGCTTCTCCCGCATCCTGGGAAGGCCCTCTGGTTGATCTGGCTGACTTGGCAACTCTACCCTGCAGGCAGGCTTGGAGCCAGCCTCCTTTGCTTGCTTCCCAGCCCCGACACAACCTGGGGCCCAAGCTCCCTCCCAGGGGACGCTGGGCTGGAAGAGGTGCAGGGATGCGGCGTGCGGTGCACAAACTTCTTTCCCCACCTGCACGTCCCCCTCCCCCAGGCTGCCCTGGCTTCTCCTTCCCTTCCTAGTACGACCGGGAGTTCTCAGAAGCCAGCAGACCTGGCTCTGTGACCCTGAGCCTCAGTGTCCTCTTCTGTGAAGTGGGTGAACGGGTGCCTCTCTCCGACAACCACAGGCTCCCTGCCCTTCCCCCAGCCTAGAGGTCCCTGAAGCTCACGGGAACCGCGTGTCTTTAACAGGCCTGTCCGCTTGGGCCCGGAAGTGACAAACCTAGTGGCCCAGGGAACTTGCACTGTAAAGCCGCTCCCCTCTCTTATCCCGTAAGTGCGATCCTGATGCTGGAGGTCCAAGAGTCACAATCTTGCAAATCGTGGCCCTGATTTCTGAGAGCAGCCCAGACTGGAGGTGGGAAAACTAAACTGAGCCCAGAGAGAAAGGTCCCCCCTTCCTGCACTCTGCACCCAGAGGATAGTCTGGCCTGTCCTGGCCTCCGGTTCGGGTCTGCTGTTGTCTGTAGGAACAGAACCTCCTGAAAGGGCATCCCCCTATCATCTCTCTCTGCACCTGTAGTCAGAGAGGTCCAGTGGCCTCAGGAGCTCACACAGCACAACAATCCCTGAAAGGATGGAGGTGGGGGGAGAGCCCTGGGCTGGGGGGGGGGGGGAATAGCAGAAGGCCTGTCCCCAGCCCGTGTCCTTACTTAGGAAAAGCAGGACACCCCTTCCCTTCTTTCTTCCCAGCCGTCTCTGAGGGTCCCTGAGTACGGAGGTAGGTCCACAGTGGGAGAGAGGAGACATAAGATCGCAACTGGACCAAGTCACCTCCCTCGGGTGTGTAGGGGTGTAAGACCAGGTGGTGAGAACCCGGGAAGGTCAGCTGGGGCCCCCAAGCCGTGGTTTTGTCCTCCGTGAATGGGAGCAGGCACGCTGCCTGCTCCACAGGTTGCTGGGGCGAGCACTGTGGGAGCCGGATAAAGCCCATAGCCAGGCTCCCGGCACACGGGGGCTCCCGGTAAAGATGGGCAGTCATAACTGTCCATCACCAGGGCTCAGGGCAGGTTCTGAAGGATCACAGGTACCAGGTTCGCCAGAGACAGAACGATAAAAGTAACAGCAGACACATACCCCACTTACGTGCCAGGCCTGCCTCTACAGGCTTCCCAGTACTACCTCCTAGTAGACCGGACAGGCATGGTGGTGATGTGCATAGCAATTCTCACCATTGGGAGCCGGCGGCGGGGGAAGGGGGTGGCGAGGGGCACCGGCCAGCTCGGCAGGCACTGCCCTTCCCTGGGTGGGCACCCAGAGAAGTGGGCACGTGAGTGTGCAGCCAGGCACCGCCATGACTGGCTGGGAGACCCAGAC